TGGTGTTATCCCAACTTGGCTGCAAAATTGGAAATGCACTTTAAATCAATGCATGTTAATGCATTATATTTATATTACTTTCATATGTATTTGTTAATTTTGTCTTCATATATTAACATTATATCCAAGTATTTAGAGATGAATTCATTTTAGTAAGTTCCTAGCAATTTTCTTATTCCCCTTGCAGAATTCATAATTATGGAATGACGGTAGGATTAGCAGGATTCCCAATAGACCTAACGTACGTGCGGCAGTTACCGCTGCAAAGTATAAATATGTCACATAATAAGCATATAAAGATGAACAACCAGAAATCTATTTTATGATAAAGAGGCAAAGGGCATGTTTCTTACCAATGGATCCATTATGTTCCCAGCTTTATCAACAGGTGAGTTAGTAAGCTTTACTAATAAATGAGGGGAACAATAACAGTTTGAGGAGTTCACAAAATATCACCAGTTATTTTAGGCACTAGTAATAATTTAACAAAGCACACTGTGGTGTTTTGCATTCAATGTATTGTTTATTGATGTATTTATTTTTTGAACAAAAATAAAAATTAATTTATTTTTACAAAAACATTTCCAACAATACCAGGGATTCCACATATTCCATTTGCGATCTTATATAGCCTTCTATCCCTCTATTGGGTAGAGCAGATATTTTATAAATATTAAAATCCTCATTTCTATATTTCTTTTTATAAGGTGATTCTTCATACACATAATATCATAATACTACATAATAATATAATGAGATTGTGCATTTCCGCGACCCATGGCACAACCCCTTTCAACCATGTTGGGCAGCACAGTGGCTTATTGGATAACACTTGTGCCTTGCAGCACTGTGGGTCCCTGGTTTGAATCCTGCTCTGTGCACTATCTGCAAAGAGTTTGCCTGTGCTTGCATTGGTTTCCTCCCACACACCAAACACATGGTGGAAGGTTAATTGGCTCTGTATGCATGTGAGTTAGAGACCGTAAGCTCCTTGAGGGCAGGGACTGATGTGTGAACTATGTAAATTGTTGGCACAATAACTATAATAATATGTCCAATATTTCTGTAAAATGTTGCAGAAATTGAGAATAATTATAAATCTTATTCTACAAAAGCACATTTTCAAAGGATGAGATGAGTTGTTGCTGAGTTAACTTTCCAAGTTACCCTGATAATTAACCAAAAACCAAGAGCCACCCTTTAAACATTCAATATCATTTTAATTATAAAGTTTATGTTATCTAGCAATAGAAATACATACTCTATGCATAACTGTCAGATATAGTTGTCAATTCAGCATTTATCTTAATCCTACAGACCTCGATGCACCCAGTAGAAGCTGGCTCCATATATTTTGACAATTTCCTTCAAAGGAATTCTTGGCCTTCATATATTGTGACATCATCAGGATCTCATACATGCACCTTAAAGGGAATTTACTGATTACTCTATTTCTTTGGGAAAAATTTTTTACAGCACTAATAAAAGTCTTTGGCACTATTACATTTTATTATTTAGAAATAAAAATGTTTAATTTAGTTCTGCAAGTGCTTGAATAGGCATCTGCTGGGTCCAGAAAGAAATGTGACATCCAGGGGTTGATTTACTAACCTTATAAACACACCACGAACATGTATACACCTCTGTAGTGTGTTCCCTCCCAGCATGATCTATGGGTGGAATCTAAACACCTTTGTAGTGTGTACACACCCAGCAGGTGTGTTGTGCAAAGCCCTGCATGAATTGCAAGGTGATGTTGTGTAAATTAGCTCTATGTTGTGTTGCTTGCATTAATGAATGCAGGAATGTAAATGCATGAGCTAACCATGTTTGTCTAAACTGTGAAGCAGCATCATATATGCATCTTGTGCATGATTTTTCCATATATGGCATTAGTGGAAATATGCTTTTAGAGACTTTTTGGTTGATAAATACGTTTTGCTGTGTGAAAATCACACGCACCTGGTGCATGCGTGTGTTTAGGTTAGTAAATCACCCCCCCCCCAGAGTCTATCACACTGTTCACATTTAGCTACAGTGTTATAAATGAAGAGTACATTCTTCCAGGATAGCAGTATGCTTGATGTGCTGCTGACTTTTAAAGACAAAAGCTTAGGGATTGTCGTCGTCATTCCTGTATCAACACTGACTCATAATAGGTGTTCAGCCTGTGGCAATAGAACTTTAGACCAGCTTGAATATTCCAGGTAGTAACTCTCTGAATAGAAGCAAGGATAAAGATGAAAGCTTTTGCAGCTTCACATTGTATAAGGAGTCTATAATGACAGCTAACACTTTTGTATCCTGATTCTGATTAGCTCCTACCAGCAAATCCCTGGGATGAAAAAAGTTTGTGAAGCATGACCTTTTGAATAAAAAGTGTGCAAGTTCACTAGCAAAAATAAGGAACAATCAATCATACATTTTCCTGCTCAGCTAAGTAAAAAAACAAACAAACAAACAATCATTTGCAGGAATAGATAACCCTGCCCCTGTTCTATAAAAAGGTGCAGCAGCCACATTGTCTGTGTATGTTAAAACTGTTATAAGGAGAGCAAACAATACTTTATAAGGAGAGATACTTTTGTAATGTAAAAATTCTGGCATGGGTACATGTTCCCCATGGCAGTGCCTGGCTTCCCATGCCTTTTCTTTGACAATTGCTTGCTTATTAGCTCTATAGATAGCAGAATTGAATACAATGATTCATTCCAGGGCAAGATGAACAACATTTTTTAGGGTTAGAAATTGATAAGTGTATTTAAAAAAAAAAACAAAAGCAGGGTAAGTACCTGAATTTGACTTGGCATCAGCCTCTTGAAGTCCCTGTACAGCAGAGCTCAGCCTGGGAGTTAGAGAAGCAGAAGAAGGAGCTAATCTGTTCTGACAAGGAGTATGCCAATAGGTGAAGAAGGCAGAGTGGCAGACAGGTTAGCTTTTTACTGTGCTGCTTCTCTTTACCTGTCCAGTAACTGCAGAGAGTGTCCATGACAGTCTGGTTTCAGAGGAAGTGGGTTAATTGATGCTGACTTTCATTCAACCCTGAAGACTAAGGGCACATGAGTTTTGTTTGCATATAATTGCATGACTTATTCACAATACATATTTTTGCTAGCTGAACTGCCTCTACTTCTTCTAGTAGTGAAACACTAAAGTAACAAAATAGAAAATAATTTTGTGGATGATATATTGATATACTTTAGATGCAGGTTTAGTGACCTGCAATGTGTAATAGTTGTTTTAAAATATATATATTTATATAGTGAAATGGTGGTCAACGTACTTAATATAGGGGGCTTCAAGTGTGATCACTGACATTGCCAAAGTGCCACACATGATATTCAGTAGATATAATGCTATGAAAAAAACTGTTAGAGGTTGACATGCAACAATAGATACACAAATACTAAAGACATGTAATGTTGTCAAAAAAAGCAGATACAGGGACAAGTAAGATAGTGTAAAACAAATAAGCCAACCCATACTGGAATCTAAGACAATTTTTCCTTCACTGGTTTGAGTAAGCATCTGGGTTAGGCAAAGTTTGGGGTTGATTTACTAAGGGCATATAGGCTCTTCACTTTTCAAGGGAATTTTCCCTTAACTTAGTGAACGTAATGAGGAGATTAGAGGGGACATGATTTTCATGTAAGAAATGTTTAGGGGTGATGGCAACATCAGCAATGAACTTTTTACAGTAAACTCCGTAACAAAGACTAGAGGCCACCACCTAAACTGGTGGAGAAAAGATTTAACCACAAGGGGCGTAAGGGCTTTTTTTCAGTGAGATTAGTTAAAGTCTGGAACTCGCTGCCACAAGCAGTGGTATCAGCTGAAAGTATTGAATCATTCAAAAAGCATTTAGATACCTTCTTCAGAGACCGCAACATACAGGGGTACAGGTTCACTTAAAAACAAGGACAGAAAAGTGACTTGTGTACACATATACACATGTACAATCACACACATACACACAAAGGTTGGACTTGATGGACCTGTGTCTTTAGTCAACCTCAAATACTATGTAACTATGTAACATGCTAAAGATCTGCTGACTTCCATGATCCAATCATATGCAAGCACATTTTTGTTTATTTTCCTTGCACATCATTGTGTATTGTTTGCAAAGTGAATTGTTACTGCATTTCTACAATATCCCTTGCAAAGTGCAATTCCCCTTGCAAAATGAACAGCCTATCTGCCTTTAAATCAATCCCAAAGACAACCCTCTGCAGAAACCTTGAGGGCCACACAATAACAATAAAAAGGCCACAAGGTAGATCAATCGGGTATAGTGTGTTCTATTAATACATGTTTATGATTTAAAGAAATTGATGGCATCAGAAAGATCCCTTTTTTTCTTTTTTTCAAGAATACGTTTTTATTCATCACATTCCAAATACAATTCAGTTATTTAATTATATGCATAAAAATAACAGTAGCATCTACATCTAACCGCTATGCACCTGTCTATAATTGCTAATCAACCATAGTCAGATGCATGACACACTGATCCGTTATGATAAATACTTATACAACTATTATATAATCCTCCTCAAAAAGCCTTTCTCCCCCAACACCTGTGGGAAATCTGAATTACCAAGTAGGGGTGTCAATGGGCCCACATAAGATGATATATCACAGTTCTTGATTAATGCGTTTTATTATCACTCTAGTTACGATCGACCGATTCCATCCCCGCGGTCGTTTGTCTGGGCATACCCATGGTAATGACGTTAAGGGTATTGAGATCTCAGCTTGTTCAGAGTTTGATCCACGTAGGGCTAAACCAGTCCATCATTCTATTCAAGGTTGTAGCTTTATAGTATCCATGTGTGGCAGATCCCCTCTCCCTTCTAGTCTTCTTTTAACCAAAATGTCATAGGCGTGCCCCCGAAGTACCCCAGGTATATTGTAGCAACAGAGATCGTAGTCTGTGAAAATATACTCTGGGGATCTTTATCGGGGTCATCTGAAATATGTAAAGAAATCTTGGGAGGATGTCCATTTTAAATCATGTCATTCTCCCCGTCCAGGAGTGTTTACACTTCTTCCAAGCCTCCATTCGTGCTTGTGTCATCTCCAGGAGGGGGGTATAATTAAGTTAATATACTTTTCTTACATCTGCTGAAATTTTTATTCCCAGATAGTTTATTGCTTCCAGGGCCCAGGTGAATGGAAAACTAGCCCTCAGAATTTCCCGCTCGCCCTGAGGGAGAGTTACATCCAGACATTGAGATTTACTTTTTTTCTTATTATACTGTATATTACAAAAATACATTAAAGATACATTATGGGCATGAGGGTACATTTATGGCTTAAATGTGACATAGAAGAGATGGACAATAAAGGGATTAATGTTAAATTCATTAGTTTGGCCTGTTCTTGTTCCATTTATATATTTATATTACTTATCCATTCAAAATAGGGGTTAAATCAAACAACATTTACAGATTTTATTCTCTTGGGATTCCAGAGCAGCAAAGACCTAAACATTCTAATTACATTGATTCTCCTTGTTGTCTACTGTATGACAGTTTTTTGTAACCTTGTGATAATCATATTGGTGATCTACAGCAAAACCCTCCAATCTCCTATGTACTTTTTCCTCACTCAATTGTCTACAAATGATATACTACTGACCTCAGCGATTGTTCCCAACACACTCAATGTTTCACTTAATGATGGCGGGACAATTTCATTTGCTGGTTGCATCACCCAGTTTTATTTTTTTGCTGCATCAGAAACCTTTGAGTGTCTTCTTCTTACAGTGATGTCTTATGATCGATATTTGGCCATTTGTCACCCACTGCGTTATTCCGTGTTAATGAATAGATGGCTTTGTTTAAAACTGGTTTTTGTCTCTTGGATGTTAAGTTTTTCAATCACACTGATTGATACTTTAACGTTATCTAAGTTAGAGTTCTGCAAATCAAACATTATTGACCATTTCTTTTGTGACCTGGACCCTTTGATGGAAATTTCTTGCTCTGATACATATTACCTTCAGTTAGAAGTTTCCTTACTAAGCATTCCACTTGTAATCATGCCATTTATGATGATTGTGATATCTTACACTTATATCATATTTGCCATCTTAAAGATCCAGTCTAAGGCTGGTAAACAGAAGGCCTTCTCTACCTGTAGTTCCCACCTAAGTGTGGTGATTATGTTTTATGGGACTCTAATTGGTATTTATGTTCTCCCAAGCAGAGAACAAGCACTGAATACTGGTAAGATTCTGTCATTGTCTTATACTGTGGTGATCCCTTTTTTGAACCCCATTATCTACAGCTTAAGAAACCAGGACATTAAGAAAGCCTTGGAGAAAAACATTAGAAAATTTGTATTTATATAGAAACCAAGGATTTATGTACAACCACTGCTTTTTAGTCAGTTTAAGGCTGGGGGGTGGGAAGGAATGCTTCTTGGGGCCATAATGAGGCAGAACAATTAATTGAGTGAGTCTAGAGACCCTGCAATCCATGAGTCATTAGTAAGGAAGAGGTTTAGTTTCACTGTTACAATGGGTTTGAGGAGAATCCTGTGAGTTTGAGACTCATGGTCACTATGTCTTTCTTTTTTTTTTGGGGGGGGGGAGGTTATTTGAGGTCAGGGAACACTTAAAACTGCTTCCCCATTCAAAGCAATTTTTTTCCTCAAAGCTCCCCTTTAACAAACCTCCCGTCCATTGGCCATTCCTAAACGGCCAGACAGGAGCCTTATAGGAGCTGGTGGGCATCTTAAAACGTCCCTCCCCGTCCCCACTTGTGTACGGCGCCAAGCACGCACACGAGTGGGGAAACTGTCAAAAATGTAAACAGCCAGCGATGGCAGTTTAGGAACAAGTAATCTGGGGTCTGTAGCGATGCCCGATTGCTTTTATTAGAAGCAGGTGTGCGCCCAATGTGATCGCCGATCCCGAGATCTGCTGTGCCCGTTGCATCCGGGACTGGCATGGCGACTTTGTCACAGTTGATCAAAGGGAGATCAGTACACGATCTCCCTCTGTTTCCTTCTCCGACCTCCGGTCCCCAAATGCAGGAAGATATATATATATTGCATTGTATATTTTGCGGGTGAGCACAATTTTAAAGCTTGACATGTATGGTGGTGTCTATTTACCTCACGTGACTCCGTCTTTTATGTTTAACCACAAATTTGCGATGATAATAAATGTTTCACTACATTTCAAAAATTACGGTACTTTTTTAGTTATATAGCAAAAAAATTACCCCCCCCCCCCAGTGGTGATTAAATATCACCAAAAGAAAGCTCTATGTGTCCCCAAAAATGATATCAAATTAATTTAAGTTCAGAATTGCAAGACTGAATACATGTCAGTCAAAGTACCTCAGTGCTGAATACTGAAAAATGGCCGGGACAGGAGGTTGGTTTAACACCCTGGTCTTCAAGTGGTTAAGAAAATTGTTATTTTGTTTCAGGGGTGGTATTTTGGGGTTTTAATTTCTATTCTTATTTATTTTATGTTGATTTGGTGTTTTGTTAAGGTGGAGATGCATTCACTTGTTACTGACCATTTGCCTCCTTTTTGAATAATTTAAAAGAGAAACTACGGTAAGTGCAAAAACAGTGTGCAACAAAACCACCTCACATTATAGCACTAACATTCACCACAAACAACCCCTTATCCCCTTATATAAAATAAAAGTTAGGCATACATCAATTAGGCATACTATTCCTAATTAAAGCTGTCTTGCTGCTGGCCAGGTTTACCCTGCTGTATCCTCTGCAGTATCTTTGTTCTTGTAGTGAAACCAAACCTGTGCTTTTTGTCTCTAGTAGATTTGGGACTTCGCTCAAGAATATTGTCCTGCTTCTGGCCGATTTTACACTATTGTATTATCTGTGGTCTCCTAACTCTTGTAGAAAAACATCTGCCTATACTTTTTGTCTCTGGTACATTTTGACTTATTATCCCTGACTAAGTAAGTATAACCGCTCAGGCCCCCCACAGGTTTACCTGATTGAGGATCACAGCTGCAGAGACAGTCTTAGTTTAATAGTCATTAGTATTGCATATAAACCTGTATCAACTGGCGGTTTACTGAATGCAGTCTTTGAATTATTCAAGCGGGAATTAAGCGACAGTCTATGGTTATGCAGATATATGATAAGCAAGTGGCTGTGGAGATGACCGTTGGAATGGGAAGATTGCCCTCCGGTGGAGCTTGAGGGAACGACAGTCCCAGCTCAGGTGATCCGGCTCTCAGACTGGGGCTGCAGTGACGTTTTTGAGAGAATAGGCTGTCCTGAGACTGGTGGATGTCCTGTGCATGCAGGACGTGTGGATGCAGAGGAGAGGAGTTCGTGGCAGACCGACGGAGGAACTTGCCTGGCGTCTACACACTTGCACGAACGCCAGGCAAGTGCAACCGCCGGGTTTAAACAGGGAGAGGGGGAGGAGTCTTGTGACGTCACGGCTGACGTCACAAATTTCCGACGGAGCTCCGGGCCACGCCAGAACTGAGGGTCAGGTAAGACTGTTAGAGTAAGTCCTTTTACTGGCCAGTTTTAAATGCTGTACCCTCTGCAGTATCTCAATTCTTGTAGTAAAACCCCAGCCTGTGTCTCTATTAAATTTGGGCCTAACCTTGCTATTTAAAACTGTCCTGCTGTTTGCCACTTTTACACTGTTGTATCATAACTCGTGTAGTAAAAAACTTGCCAGTGCCTTTTTTTCCTCTAATATATTTTTGCAGATTCCTCCTCATTAAAATATCCTGCTGCTGGCCAATTTCACCCCATTGTATCATCTTCAGTCTCTTAATTCCTAATTAAAGCTTGCTAGAAATGTGTGGAGACAGCTGCTGGACAGTTTTTGCATTAAAAAAAACCCGGAAACAGCCACAGCAAAGTACTGGCCAATTTCTATCTGCTATTCAAAGTGGGCTTATTACCATTTCATTAAAAGACATGTGTTGCTGCTAAAGTTACCTAAATTTTTTTTTCCAAAAAGAAATCAGATTGTGGTGCTGTCATTATATGCAATATTTCATCATACAATTTGTATGTAATGTCAAAACTTTAATCTACATATGAATGAAATAATAAATACAATAAAACCATACATTGTAACATTGTATTTCCTGAATGAGACTTGTAGGCTATCTGACACAGGAAAAGTTTGACAGCTGCTGCGGCCATAGCCAGGGCGTTCTGAGCATGCTCGCCACAATTTTGGAGTAGATCTTGGTATACACCAAGATGGCGGCACCCACATGTTTCGATCACCGCCATCTTGGTGTATTTCAAGATATACTCCAAGATGGTGGCGCACATGCACAGAACACGCCGGCGGCTCCTGCCGGGTGTGACGTCACCGTCATGTGACGTCACTCGCTTCTCCTCCAAGATGGCAATATGGCCGGCGGCATGTTCTGAAAAAGAATTTATGTATGCCCAAATATGGTTTTAGTTCATTCGGGCATATATTACATTTGTTATTTCGGATTTGGGCGAACCACCGAATCAACTGATTCTTGTTGATTTGCTGGTTCTTCTGAATCTGAATGCACATGTCTACTGGTCATAGTGACAGAGGGATTGACGACAGGGGGGGAGAAAATCTGGAAGTTGTAGATGCATTCGGAAAACGTTGTTGAAGTTTTTTAGGATGTATATCCTATCTCAAAATTCTGAATTTAAAAAAATATATTTTTGCATAGGTATATGAGTCCCCCCCTGGTGTTCCCCAACTTCCTATGCCTTTTTGACAGTTTACCTATTATCTCTAAAAATGGCCAGACTTTAACAAAGTTTGCCCCCTATAGATGTCAATTGGATTTGGCTCTAAGTTTAGGTTTGCTGAACTTCAATCAAAATGTATGAACTCTTGGGGAAATGAACCTGGGGTGATTTGCCCATCAATATTCCCTTGGCCTTTAAATTTCTTAGACCACTGTTCCTCAACTTTTTTCAGTCACAGTAAAATCTCCAGGCACTGTAAATAAAAAAATGGAAATGATGTGTGGCCACTTCAAAATCCATACCATACACATATCCGAGATCGGAGCCTGGTATGGATTTAAAGGTGTATCCCACACAAAAAAATGGGGTTCTGTCTTCACATCAGGAGCATTTTTCACCTCAGAAGCCTCCCTTCCCATCAGGAGCCATCCTTTCACATCAGATGCCTGCCTACACCATGGAAAGGCATGACACTGTGCAAACATTTCAAGGTACCTCTGAGGAAGTCCATAAGGCACGCTAGGGTGCCATGGCACCCTGTCTGAGAAAGGTTGTCTTAGAAAACTGAAGTCCCTTGGGTTGAATATTCTTGCTTGGAGATGTTCCAACTTAATGTATATCTCTTTTGTACAAACCGCTCCCTGCTCTAGACCATACTTCACCATTCTAGGTGTCCAAATGGGAGGGATTTTTTTTCAACAGATCTCCCTAGTTCAAACAAACACAATCCTCACTCTGGCTCTCACCTTCTCAATTCCTTCTTGCCGAATCTAATTATAAATGCCTAACAAGCTGGTTAGTCATACTGCAGTATGTCTAAACACATGGAATCTTCAAATGTCTCTGCAATGTTGGAGTTGTGAGCTGGGGACCTATCACAGATCAGCTCTGCAGTTGATAACTTCCTGTTAAGTTCCTGTAAGTTCTGCAAACATGTAGGTTTTTCCTACCAGGCTATGCAAAACACAGAAATGTGCCAGCACACTTACTAGCTATCCTGTAATAAAACAAATTACACTGTCTAACAATATGCATTAAAAACAGAAGCCACGCTGCCTCATCAAGGCTTCTCTGTGTAGTGTGGTCCTAACTCTAATCTCAGAGAGCCGCCACATTGGAGCATATACACTATAACAGTAGATGTATTGAATACAGGTATGCATTGGGGGTAGCCCAGTCCTCCTTTAAGTTGTAGGGATACACTGGAGGCCTAGCACATCAAAATGTCAGCTAAAGCCTCCAGTGTGTCCCCACACCAAATACAGCCGAGATAAACAAAAACAGCAACTGCACAACTCAATTTATATCAAGCCTTAAAGTAAGGTGCACATGGAAAGGCTTTCAGCAATACAAAACACAGACATTTCCCAGGACAATTACCAGCTTGCCTACACCTTGCTTTTAAGGCTAGTTATAAATTGATTTGTACGGTTGCCATTTTTGTCTAGCTTTCCCTACCAAGCTGTTGTACTGATCTAGAAGTTTGGGCAACGCCTGCTTCTACCTACTGATTTATATAGCACCTAGCCCCCCAAGGACATCAAATGGTACTCACAGGACCCCTAACAGTATTTCCATGGTACTTCCATAATGCATGCCAGTGCATCCAGTGGTATTCCCAGAATCCCTGCCAGTACTTCCAGTGGC